TCTTTCTTCTTTTGCATATCACACAAATCCACAAAGTTGTTTAGATGGGTAGCAACATCTTCACTAGGAAGGCCGACGAATTGATCTTTCATAACAAGATTCAGAAAAGCAGTATTGATTTCACAAGACTCAACATCATTAAGAGGAGCAATCGGAGTACTAAGGAAATCATTATTATTGGTCTTGAAGAAATCACACAATTTGGTATTATCTTGCGCCATGGCGACAAGTAATCCGCACACAAGCAAACAGAAAAAGGCAAGCGAAAGAGAGGGGAGATTGGGACAGAGAGGGCAAATAAAATGGCAAGGGTGAAGTGGGGGAGAGGAAAATGAGAGGCAAATGGCAAATAATGTAAATGCAAGGGAGATGAGTTTGTGATGGGTACTTGGTATGTCTTGACTTGAGCGAAGACCTCCCCGGCAACGGCGCCAGAAATCCTTCTTGCTACGTCTTGAGCTTGCGTTGGTTTTCCTTGAAGAGGAAAGGGTGATGCAGCAATAGTAGAGTAAGTATTTCCCTCAATTTTTGAGAACCAAGGTATCAATCCAGTAGGAGGCTCCTCAAAAGTCCCACGCACCTACACAAACAAACAAAGAACTCGCAACCAACACAATGAAGGGGTTGTCAATCCCTTCACGGCCACTTGGAAAGTGAGATCTGGTAGAGATAGTATGATAAGATAAATATATTTTTGGTATTTTATGATATAGATTGGAAAAGTAAAGATGCAAATAAAAGTAGATTGAAAGCTTATATGATAAAAGATAGACCAGGGGCCATAGGTTTCACTAGTGGCTTCTCTCAAGATAGCATAACTATTACGGTGGGTGAACAAATTACTGTCGAGCAATTGATAGAAAAGTGAATAATTATGAGATTATCTAGGCATGATCATGTATATAGGCATCAAGTCCGTGACAAGTAGACCGACTCCTGCCTGCATCTACTACTATTACTCCACACATCGACCGCTATCCAGCATGCCTCTAGAGTATTAAGTTCATAAGAACAGAGTAACACATTAAGAAAGATGGCATGATGTAGAGGGATAAACTCATGCAATATGATATAAACCCCATCTTTTTATCCTCGATGGCAACAATACAATACGTGCCTTGCTGTACCTACTGTCACTGGGAAAGGACACCGCAAGATTGAACCCAAAGCTAAGCACTTCTCCCATTACAAGAAAGATCAATCTAGTAGGCCAAACCAAACTGATAATTCGAAGAGACTTGCAAAGATAACTCAATCATACATAAAAGAATTCAGAGGAGATTCAAATATTTCTCATAGATAAACTTGATCATAAACCCACAATTCATCGGATCTCGACAAACACACCGCAAAAAGAGTTACATCGAATAGATCTCCAAGAAGATCGAGGAGAACATGGTATTGAGATCCAAAAAGAGAGAAGAAGCCATCTAGCTAATAACTATGGACCCGAAGGTCTATGGTAAACTACTCACAACTCATCGGAGGGGCTATGGTGTTGATGTAGAAGCCCTCCGTGGTCGATTCCACCTCCGGCGGAGTGCCGGCAAAGGCTCCAAGATGGGATCTCGCGGATACAGAAGGTTGTGGCGGTGGAATTAGGTTTTCGTGGCTTGTTCTGATGTTCTCGGGGTACGTGGGTATATGTAGGAGGAAGAAGTAGGTCGGTGGCCTCCCGAGGGGCCCACGAGATAGGGGGCGTGCCCTGTAGGGGTGGGCGCGCCCTCCACCCTCGTGGCCGCCTCGGCTGCTTCTTGACTTGCACTCCAAGTCCTCTGGGTCACGTTCATTCCAAAAATCACGCTCCTGAAGGTTTCATTGCATTTGGACTCCGTTTGATATTCCTTTTCTTCGAAATACTGAAATAGGCAAAAAAACAGCAATACGGGCTGGGCCTCCGGTTAGTAGGTTAGTCCCAAAAATGATATAAAAGTGTAAAATAAAGCCCATAAACATCCAAAACAAGTAATATAATAGCATGGAACAATCAAAAATTATAGAAACGTTGGAGATGTATCAGCGTTCCGCCGACGGCGGTCATGGAGGCCGACCGCCCCAGGGGGCGGCGCGCGAGTGCGGAAGCGGCGGCGGCTAGGGTTTAGAACCCGAAAACTGATACCATATTAGAAGGGAGAGAGGGATTGGTGGAATAGTTGTTGTATTGCTTGAGCCTCATGGGCATATATACAGAAGTACAATGATTTACTTGGAGTACAAGACAAGCCAGAACAAATCCTAGTCTATCTCCACGACAACAACGAGCGTTCTCTCTGCTGATGCGGGAGAGGTCTTCATCGAGTCCCTGCCTCAAGCCGCATCACCACCTTCCTCTCCGTCGTGCGTCGCCGGGGACATGGCGATAGCTATAGCCTCCATGCGCCTTCACCATCGCGCGTCACAACCATTCCCCCTATCCGCTCCACGCACAGCTCCTCCGCTTCGGCCTCCTCGTCCGTTGCCGGAGCAGCCTGTCAGCGAGAGCTTGCGCGGTGGGGAGCAGCGGTTGGCGAGTGATAGATTGGGGGGAGGAGGCGACTGGATAAGGCGAGATGAAGGAGACGTTCGGGACGCGTGTCCTTTCTAGCGAACGACCAGAAAAACGTGACCTGGCAATTTTAAGTTCTTTAAGATGCATACCTGTAATCAACGACTCAGGACGTGTTCCGGACGAGGAGCAAAAATATGGTATGTTCGGGAGTTATAGAATCGGAAAAAAAGAAGCAAACACGCCCTTAGAGCAACTCCAATGGGGCGACCCATTTCCTCCGCCGCCGTCCGTTTGGGTCGGCGCGGACAGAAAAAGCGGCCCAACACGCCGACCCAAACGAACGCGCGTCCGCTTTTCGTCCGCGGGCGACCCATTCCCGGCCCATTTTTGAGCCGGATTTGCGTCGGCGCGGACACGCGACGGACGCGCGCACGCTCGCCCTCTCCTCCCCCCAGGCCAGCTGGTCTGTGTCACATTGTCCTCCCCCGTCCAACAGTAACCCTCGCCCTCCTCCTCCGTCGCCGACGCTGCCGCCCTTTTTAGCCCGCGACTCTGCCAGCTGCCGGGGCCTCCACATCCGCCCAGCTATGCCGCACACTCCCACGTCGCCCGTCATCGCCGTCTTGCCGCCGGGAGCCGAATGCTTCCTGCCCCCCGTGCCCCCACCACACAACCGCCCCCGACCAAGAAGCTGCCTCGCCGCCCGGCCAGATCCTCACCGGCACGCTCGTCGGAAACCGACAAGCTTGTCGGACACCGGTAGGACAACAGCTGGTCCGTGCGCGCCGCGACTCCCTTCACCGACGCCTGCAAGCTGTTCGACAGTTTGCCAAGGTACAAAATGGACTCCGCCGACGAGTTCTTTTTTCACAATTTTTTTGCGACTCCGATGATTCGTCCTCCGATGACGAGGAAGAGATATTGGTTGCCGTGTTGGTCTATCACCACCTCAACAGCCAGCGGGCATTGTTCCGTGGCTCCATTCCGGGCCACCTTCCGGCGTTGAATCGCAACCGAGAGAGCAGGCATTTCCTTCTTTGGAAGAACTACTTTGATACAACAAACCCGTTGTTCAAACATCAGGAATTCCGCCGCCGTTTTCCGTATGAGTAGGCATGTTTTCAACCGTATTAGAGAGGGGGTGGTCGGCTATGATGACTATTTCGAGTGCAAAGAGGATGCCGTTGGCAAGATTGGTTTTTCCTCTTATTAGAAATGCACTGCCGCCATCCGAATGCTTGCATACGGAGTGCCCGGTGATCTCATTGACGAGTACGTCTGTATGAGCGAGTCTACTTGCCTAGAGTCCCTGTATAAGTTCTGCAAGGCTGTTATTGCTGTGTTTGGTCCTGAGTACTTGAGAGAGCCGACTGCTGAATATACGACCCATTTGTTGGCGATGAATGCCAACAGGGGCTTTCCAGGGATACTTGGTAGTATAGACTGCATGCATTGGGAGTGGAAGAACTGCCCTTCTGCTTGGCAAGGGCAGTATAAGGGCCATGTCAGGGCTTGCACTGTCATACTTGAGGCCGTGGTGTTTCAAGATCTCTGGATCTGGCACTCTTTCTTTGGCATGGCCGGATCACACAATGATATCAACGTGCTTCAGTGCTCGCCGGTGTTTGCTAGGCTTGCCGAAGGCAACAACCCACCGGTGAACTTTACTGTCAACGGCCACACATACGACAAAGGATACTATTTGAATGACGGTATCTATTCTCAGTGGACCACTATTGTCAAGACAATACCCAACCCTGTCGGAGAGAAGAGGAAAAGATTTGACCAAGAGCAAGATAGTGCTAGGAAGGATGTCGAGCGTGCCTTTGGTGTTTTGCAATCTCGATGGGGCATCGTTCGGTATCCTGCTAATACCTGGAGCACGCAGAAACTGTGGGAGGTGATGACTGCTTTTGTGATCATGCATAATATGATCGTAGAAGACGAGCGCCCAGAACGTCTGTATGATCAAGGGTTTCAGTTTCAGGGTGAGAATGTTGTGTCTGAGTATGGAGTAGCGGCAACGTTTGAACAGTTCATCCAATTTCATGAAGACATGCGTGATCGTGCAACTGCAAAATGATTTGGTTGAGTATATGTGGGCTCATGTTGACAACCAATAGATGTATCTTCTTTTATTCGTTTGCAAAACTATGTGACAGCTATGTGAGATCTTTTTATTTTCATTTGGCTTGTGATAAACTGTGCAATTTTATTCGGTCCAAAACAATTTTATTTTGATTCAAACTTTGCAATCATGAAAAAATGAAGGTCCAGACAACCACGCCGGCACATATGAGTCGGCGCGTTGGGTGTCCTGCATTTAAAACAGGGCGGACGCCGGGCGGCCGGCCGACCCAAATGTACAAAAAGGGGAGGAAATCTCGGTCCGTTTGGACCGCCCCGTTGGAGTTGCTCTTCGGCCATTGCCTTTCGTCCCACCTGTCACGCAAACCTTTTGAGGCCTTGATAGTGGACTACGCCGCGACCTGGTCCACGGAGAGAGAACGCCATGGTGGCTCGCAGGTTCGTAGTCCGGCAGGTCCCCGCCGACGAGGAGCACACGGTCGAGTACGACACGGAAGACGGACTCGACGTCCTCCGGTTTCAGATCTTCTCGCTCACCTCCGTCCCGCCCGACCTCCAGAAGGTTCGATCCCCGCCCCGACGACACACACTCCGCGATCATCCGGGTGCTTTCGCTCTGCTGTTCGCTGATCCGGCGTGGTGCCCGTGCAGATCGTAGTGGAAGCGGATGGCTCCGTGGTCGACGACGGCACCGACCTCGAGTCAATTCCCGAGGGCCTGTGCCTCATGTCCATTTACGAGGGGGAGGACGCGGACGCGGCTTCGGCGGCGGCGCCGGCGCAGGAGAAGTCCGACGAGGAACTGGTGAGGTTGATTGAGGTGCAGTTTCCCAGACCACTCACACCCCGCGATCATCCGGGTGTTTTGGCTCCGCTGTACTCTGATCCGGCGTAGTGCCCGTGCAGATCAAGGTGGAGGCGGATGGCTCCGTGGTCGACGACGGCACCGACCTCGAGTCCATTTCTGAGGTCCTCCGCCTCGTCCCCGTCGGCGAGGGGGGTGACGTGGACGCAGCTGCGGCTGCAGCTGTGAGGGCGCAGAAGAAGTCCGACGAGGAGCTCGCGATGATGATTCAGGTGCGGTTTCGTTATGACATCCCTGGCTGTATCGGATGGTCTAGTGCGGCATGGAATTGGTCCAAGGGTTGGTCCTGGTCAGTGTGCAAATTGATCTGGTAATCTAGTTCACGCGATGGCTTTGGAGTTTGGAGTTTGGGTTGGACTAGGGTGAAACATGGGCACTGCATTTTACCGCATTGCAGTTTGGATGGTATCGGCAGGTCTTGTACTGTTTACATTTGTTAAAGATCATTTCTGTTTGATTGGGCAGTGAAAAGGGCAAGAGCTATGCTCGATTTTCATACCTGCATCTGTTCAAACTTGCATAAATGTAGTTTGAGGGCAGCAAACAATTGCATCCCTTGTTTAAATACTTGAGTACTTCACCTAGGGGAAAAGAGAGAGAGAAGGAAATCCAAACATGGATCCCCTTTTGAACATAGGAATAGGATGTCATGAGTCATGACATGCTAAATCATACAGGAATTGGAAACACTGGAATTGGTAATAGAAGTTGTTTGATTGCTCCACATGATAAACACATTTTCCAAGAGGGCTACCCTCTTCGCCTACGAAGCACTGACATGACGACATGGATATGGCGATATGGGTACGGGGATACGGGATAAGGCAATTTCCAGAAACAGCAATACGGCGATGCGGCGAGTATAGATAAATAATTAATAAAATGGCATGTTATAAAGACAAAGAATAATTAAATGCATGAGATGAGATCAAAATACTGCCCCATAAGTTGCATCCATGCCTCGTTTCATCAAGTCCTCGTCTCGATGACTGAATGATCATCAATTTACTGAATCCTCATGGTACTTGCAAAATACATCATATGCTAGTATTAGAATTTGAAATATACATAACACTTGAGCATGAAAAGCTGAAAACAGTAAAGACGTTGGCTCGTAGCTTGCTTACCCAATGATACATGCTTGATGCTTCCCAGCCTCTCAACTGAAGATTGGCCTGCAGATGTCATTGTCAGTATTTCACTCCCTAGCACTAGCTGCAACATCAGCAGGTCAGCAGCAAATCATAGTTGATACAGCAGAGGCCAGCACCCAGTGCCCAGCTGCAGCTAGCAAGCACGCACACAAGTACAGAACAAGTACGCAGACAGACACACCAAGCACGAACGCACGCCGCAGCAAGCACACACACAGCCAGCACGCACGCACTCGGCAGGAAGCACACACAGAATCAGTA